AGGGTTACTGGCACACGCTGCTTGATCCGCTGGAACAACATTGGAAATGCGAATTCAAAAATCAAATTCTTTAGATTTAGAAACACGGATGAGAAAATAGATTGTACAACCTTGACTAAAAAAACACAGCATCCAAGACGCACGATAGAAATCCAAGTGATTCTTCAATCTTTTTCGGACTTGCATTCCATAGTGGTGTCAGTATTGCAAAGACTGAATGAATTTCTTAATTTACAAACGATTTGGAATGACCACACTTGAATGTTCAATTGTTGCAATCATTTAACATAACTCCAGAGCCCATGGGAAAAGTAATTATAAATTTACCTGTCTGAAAACAATATTTCTTCGAGTGCTATATATGTTTTTGGTTTGGCGCGACTATGGAACGCCAGTTTTCAAAGATTTTAGGTACCTGTTTCACAAGTCTGTCCGCTCCATTCCATGGGGCACACACCCCAAAGTTATTGATGGCTGATCCGATGGTCTCCTGAGCGACAAATACCACCGTTCTGGCAGACGTTGCTGTCACAGGGTCAACCTCAGCTACAGAGGAGTAAAATTTGAGAAATTGGAATATTATATTTCAGTAATTTATAAAACTCATAACTATAGGTTTTCCTGGCTCTTTTAAAATATTTGCTCATTCCGATTCACCAACTCTAACATCAATTTCAGGAGCTTTCAACAAAACCAATTTAGTCATTTACCATTCAATTTCAAAGTTTGGTTACCCTCTTTAGACACTGGGTCGAGAATATTCGTCATTACAGATCAAATTGTCTAAGCTGTTGCCAAATGGCAGCATTCAGATATCAAATTCGAAATCAATTAGACAAATTTGATTTGAACAAGGTCTGGGTAGACAAGACAAAATCGAATACTCCTGGCAGGATGAAACATGTACTCATTGTTTGAATTTCTTGACTGAATTTGAAAATGTCTGACAAAAGACAAACTTCAACATAAGTGCACTATTAAATCGATGTTGCTGGAAGAATTTGAATATTAGAAACGGGGAAGTCGAATGATAAACGTTTTAAAACAGCCAGGAAAACCTATATTAAAGAACTTTTGAAAATGTGACTTCAAATTTAGTTTTGCACTGTAATGATTCATTTTCATAAGCAGTTCATGCTCATTGCTGTTTGAAAGCTTGCCAGGAAAAATTTCACAAGCTTACTCGGTGGGAGTCGAACCCACAACCTCCTGCTTACTAGTGCAGACATCTTACAACTTCAACCACTAAGCTTACTCAGCAGAGAAACTGCTAACCACAGAAATCCGCTAAGCGGAAAAAGTATTTGTCGGGCAGAAAAATGATCACAATTTCTTTCTTGTGACTTGTTTCACAAAACAATAACACAAAATTGCTTAGAAACAAAAAATAGCTAAGCGATATTTTGACACTAAGCAGCGTGCTTACCTGTTTGGCACTGTCTGCCCAGCCAACCAGTCTGACAGACGCATGAGATCCATTGATGTTCCCATCCTCAGTCACTATACATTCCCTCGATCGTTACACGGATTAGGGTCGCATGGTAGTACTACAACAAAACAAAAAGAAACTTATTTTTAATGGACAGTGGAGTTTTTTACACCATTTTGGACATTTTGTTCTTAGGATGGAAAAAGAAGACCTCTCTTGGGAAGTGGGAAATTTTAAATGTTCCAGGATTTTATTTTCTCTTAATTTTGGTTTTTTCAAAAATATACACTGTATCAGGAATAAAAAAAAATGAAGGTTTTATTAGGTTATGCTTTTACGTCGAATGAAGGTGTTTTTCTGTTTTCTGGTTAATTGTTTTTAAGTATAGAGAACATCAAAGTCTTATCACACTTCAAAACAAATAAAGCAGACTTTGAAGCAGTGCATACAACAAAGTTAAAGCCGATCAATTATGCGTAACTTACGCGTAATTTACACAATTATTGTGTAAATTACTACATATTACATAACTAAGTAAGTTACGCAATAAAAGCGCGGTGAAATACAACAGTGTTAAAGCCAATCGCTTAAGCAATACTGACAACGTAATTTATACAGTTATTGCAAAAATTACTATATACTACATAATGGCGTAAGTAACGACATATTTTATTGCATAAGTTACGAGTTCACACTGCGAAACACTTCTAAGATGTTGCTTGTCGTAAAATCTCACGTAACTTACGCAATAAAAATGTGGCGTAAGGGCAGTTAAACCAGTACATAGTTTTTCGTGAAATCAGCAGCATTATTGATCTTACCTTGATCACAGAGAGCGCCAGTGTAGTGTGGGGGGACAGTCACAGGAGAAGCCTGCACCCTGGACGTCACACCTAGCTCCATTCAGACAGAAGTTGGGATTACATGGATCACGCACTGTCAACAAATAAAACATATTTTAAAGTTGAATAGTTAAAGAAAGAAATTGACTGGAGCAGGCTTGAACTTGCGACCTCCAGATTGCCGTTCCGATGCTCTACCAACTGAGCTATCCAGCCCTATGTTAAAGCTACAGTCCATCATTTGCAGCTATCCACAAAGTAACTGACGTAATTTTTGTTGAAAAGCATACTTGGTTTAAAGATAGAAATGGGACTAAACTCCCTGTGAAGTTATTCTTTCTGGCTAGCTATCATTTTGAAGAAATTAATGAAAGAAGGCCATTTCCAACGATACGTCCAAAGATGCATTCTTGGACATTTTTGTTAGCAGTTCTTTCACTTCGGTGAAGCGTGCGCCAGTGTTGACACGACGCACACGCGCGCAGGGTTGCTATGATTCGTCCAATCAGTGCCGGACATCGGCTCAGTGAGAACGTACGTGTCCCGGATGCTGAATTCAGGCCCATTCAAAACATGACACAGCAACTTTTTCTCGGAGTATGCAGCATTCACTGAGCTGAAACTTCATCAGGTTAGTTGTTCAGCACCCTTTTTTTTCAGAATTTGAGCACTTTTGTTGCTTCAAACGAAAAAATGCACAAATGACAAATGATGGACGCTACCTTTAACGGTTTCCCATTTTGTCAATGTCTTTGATAAGTATATGGAAGTATATTCTGGTACAGTCAGACAAAAGTTGGAACTTCTCTACTGCAGAATTAATGGACTTATAATGTAACGGAATAAAACAATTTTGTTACGACATTCACAATAATTCTAGCCAATTAACTGAAGCAAATCAAAACCAGACAGAGTTGTTCAGCATGTGAGCTTTCGTTAGTGGTAGAAATCAGGAATTTTTGCCAAAATTGTGGGCTGAAAACTTTGAGGATATAAATCACTAAGCATACATACCGCTTCCACATAAATCTCCCACAACCCCGGCACACATGGCAGAAGAAGCTAGTGGTGAAGATGGGCAGACATGTGGCACCGTTGAGGCACGGGGAACTGTCACATGGAAGAACGGCTGTGTGAATAGAACAAGAATGAAAGTTATCAAATGATATTATCATTCCTTCCGCCTACTTAACAGAACCCATGCAAAACAACAGACCAATCCATTAGGCCCCGCCCACTGCTCATACACCAATCTATAGGCCCTGCCCACTACACATAGACCAATCCATCAGGCCCCGCCCACTGCTCATAGACCAATCTATAGGCCCCACCCACTGCTCACAGACCTGGATCCATCAGGCCCTGCCCACTGCTCATAGACCAATCCAGACTGGGACCGTGAGTGCATAAAAAACGTGCAAAATTACTACTGACGTTTTTTTACTCACCATTAGGCCAATTAATGCCCACACAACACATACATCAAAATGATAAAGTTGCAAGCATGTCATCTGCGAAATTTGAGACCTTAAATCCAATTTTAAGGCAAGTTTTTGGCAGTTCAAAAATCATCCACGTCAATCTCCATGCTCTGGAAATGGGTGTGTGATTCCCAATGTATTCTGGGTAGGTGTAGGAAGAGCCTTGCAGCCTTACTTGTTTTTTTAATCGATAGCCAAATGAACATAGCGCCCTCTGCTAAAAAATGAAACATTCTACATTCACTCAGATCAACAAGAGGGCGCTGTTTTATCTACACAATGAAAATGTTCTGAGCTAGGGAGTATTTTTGCACAATGCATTGCAGTACACATCAACGGATTTCGATAGCTCTCTGCAAATTACAATTAAAAGCTGAATTTTTGGTGATGCAATGCTCACAACAGCAACTTTGCGAGGCAGAAGTTTCGGGGATTATTGAAGAAACTGTAGTGAGTAAGAAGCTTGCAAATTTGATTCACACTGGTTTTGTTATGCAGCACAAACTTTTGCACGATATGGATGCCTTAAGTTTTGGACTCTCATACACAGTATTGAGAGTCCAAATTTTCGGACTAAGACCAATCTATTAGGTCCCACCCATTAGGTCCTGGCAGCGATACATGCGCATCTCCAACAAAAAATGTATAGCTTGAAAATATTGCAAAAACGTACCGATTTCACAGAGGTCGCCAGTCCAGTCTGATGTACACTGGCAACGACGTTGGGTACCAGACAAAAAGCACAGGCCATTATTCATGCACAGGTTCTCATTACAAGGCGCTGAAAAAAGTGGTGTAAGAAACATTTACATTCATTTGAGCCAAAAGCAATCCTTTGCAATTTTGGACAAGTTTTCAATTTATTTGGATATTGAAATAAAACTAACAGTCAAAAGAGTAAAGCATTTGCGACATTCTATGGATCTTTGTTATGCTGCCACCATTTCAGTCATGTTCCCTGTATCCAATAACAGTACTGAATGATAATGCTTTTTGTGCTAAAAGGAACCAGACTATTTCTCCTACAAGCCTCGCTTTGGTTACGGTGATTTGAACAGGCAAAAATCTTGATGGCCGCAACATGATAATGGTCTAAAAACATTGTTTTGAGAATGTAATTCACTTGGAAAATTAAAAGATGTTTAGTTCAGACAGTTCAGGAATTAGCGGGAAATTCTAATTACTTACATGTCTCGCAGTTAAGACCGGACAGCCTTCTTCACAGTTACACAGGTAGCTAGTGAACCGTTAACAACAGGTACCAGCGACGCCGCAAGGGTTACTCAAACACGGATCAAGCTCTGTGATGAAGACAGAAAAAAAAGAGAATTGATGCAAACAAATCGGCCATTTGTACATTAATAAAACACTGACAATTTTACGTTGAAAAGGAACATCAAAAATGCACACTGAGTGGAAATAAATGTTTATGAAATTAAAAATTGAGATTGAGGATTTCCCTTACCGATTTCACAGAACGTTCCTGCATACATGGGACTGGAACATGGCACACGAAGCCCCCGTTGGACGTTGACAAACACACAGCGCCATTTTGACATGGCATGCTTACACAAGCAGTTACTATGGAACAAACAAAACAATGACTTTAACATCACCCTTTAAGAAAATTTTTTTTTTTAAATGGTGAATAATAATTTTGTAAATCACAAGTCCATCACAAGCCAATCTCATGTTCATCATAAGTCAATCAAAAGTCCACTATAAGTCCATCACAAGTCAATCACTAGTCAATCACAAGTCAATCACAAGAACTTCATAATTCAATCACAAGTCAATCACTAGTCAATCACAAGTCCATCACAGTCAATCACAAGTCAATCACAAGAACTTCACAAGTCAATCACAAGTCCATCACAAGTCCATCACAAGTCAATCACAAGTCCATCACAAGTCCATCACAAGTCAATCACAAGTCCATCACAAGTCCATCACAAGTCCATCACAAGTCCATCACAAGTCCATCACAAGTCAATCACAAGTCCATCCCAAGTCCATCACAAGTCAATCACAAGTCCATCACAAGTCCATCACAAGTCCATTACACGTCCATCACACGTCCATCATAAGTCCATCACAAGTCCTTACAAGTCCATCACAAGTCCATCACAAGTCCATTACAAGTCCATCACAAGTCCAGCACAAGTCCATCACAAGTCCATTACAAGTCCATCACAAGTCCATCACAAGTCCATCACAAGTCCATTACAAGTCCATCACAAGTCAATCACAAGTCCATCACAAGCCCATCACAAGTCCGTCATAAGTCAATTACAAGTCAATTACAAGTCAATTACAAGTCAATCAAATTTCCCGCAATTGTCTTACCAGTCTGACAGATCGGTCCGGTGTAGCCCGCCAAGCAGGCACAGACGAACTCACTGGAGGAACTAGAAGTGCAAACACCACCAAACAAACAAGGGTTGCTGCCGCAGGGGTCCGTCACTATGGAAACCAAACAAAGCATTATGGGTAATTCATGGTATACGAAAATCGCTTGACTGCTGCTGTTTCGTTTTTGTAAGTGTTTTAGAATTTATCTTATACAGCTGCACAGTACAAATGATCTTTGCACTACTTGTAGATATAGAAAGAAAAAGTTCAGATGATTTTATTGATCTTTTTATTAAGATTTTGTTTCTGTTTCTTACCAATTTCACAATGGGCTCCGGCGTAACCATTAGCGCAAACACACGTGTAGCAGGCCCTTGTGGGAAGCATACGCCTCCATTATGACAAGGGTCACTCTGACATGGAATAACTGGCGCGACATCTGTACCAGAAAAATATAAATAAATAAAAACCAGAACATTAAGTTTTGTAAGAAGAGAATGAAACAGGTATTTGAATATTTAAATGGTCCTTAAAGATCACTGTAGATGCAAGTTTTGAGTTTCACCTAAAAAAAACTCAATTAATTTTTAAAATTGCTATTTTCTCACAAAACAATAGCTACCCACTTTCGAATGAGACATCGAACAAAAAAAATGGTCCAAGTTATATGAAATAACTACGTAACAAATTTCAAATTATTTACGGCCTGACAAGAATTCGGTCCTCCCAAAATTTTGAAAATTCATGATGAAGACGAAAATTTGAACTTATTCAAGAGCTCAGATAGTACATCTTTAAAAAAAAAAAAAAAAAAGGAGTGGAAAGTCACAAATTTTAAGAATTTGGATTACAAGTTAATAAAATTATCTAAGAGTTAATTCTCCAATAATTAAAAGTCTCTTACAAGTTTCACAGTGGTACCAACGTAGTTGTCGGACAATCGCATAGATGGCCAGCACTGCCTTGTGGGTAACAGACTCCTCCATTCTGGCAGGGGGAGGGTTCACATGGATCTGGAGGGGCAGGCGCTGTTGAAAAAAAATACTCAAGATTATTATAAATTCTCATCGTCAACGTTCTTCCATTCAGTTTAAACTATAAAATTAGCCAAACAATTTTGAAAACACAAAAATCTCAAAAACAAATTATTTATTTACCGTTTCACAATGAACTCCAGTGAAGTCATTCACACAGGAACAAACGTAGCTCTCTTGAACGCTGCTACGGAAACAGACTCCACCATTCTGGCACGGGGAACTGTCGCAGGGATTTGAGGGACAAGACCTAATGATTAAAAAAAGGTAATAAAAGTGTTTTTAAGAACAATTCTTGCAAAACAAGGTATTTTTTTAATTTTACAACTCTGGAGTATCAAAGATAGTGTGCTGATTTAACCCTAAAGGGGACGGGACATTTTGACTATCTCACAGCTGCCCCCCCCCCCTTCAGATCTCAGCCATCAAAAGACAAAAAATTATGAAACTTGGTACATGCATAGAACAACTTAATATAGCCATACCCAAGAAATTTTATGACTATAGGTTAAAGGTTTTGGAATTATGACTAATTATTTATTCATATGCACCAATGGTACTTCTGCTTTGTGTACACTACAAAAAGTTTCGAAGCGCAGCAAACAAACGGTCGGAATTTTATGTTTTTGGTATCGAAAGATGTGCAAGACTCGAGGCTAACAAGTAAGGAAAGCTCGCGTGGGGAATTTTTTTTGCAAGGGTATTGCGGAAATATAATGGGAGGGGTGGATTCCACGTCCCCTCCCCCCTTGGCCCTTTTAGGGTTTGATAGGCAGAGGTTTTTAAGTTGTTTCACTTACTTATTTCGCAGTGCGTTCCAGCGTAATTCTGATTGCAGAAGCATCGGTACTCCCTGTTCAGATCGTACACCTGACCAAAAACCATTGTTGTGGCACGGCTGGCTGAGACACGGGTCAGCTGGAATAGAAACTGCAAAGTAAACAACAATAACAACACTTTATAAACAAAATCCAAAATCAGCTACTGAGCTACTAACCACAATTTTGCCTGGCAAGGTTATGTGATAAAGCCCCAGTTACACATTTACGGTTGGAGCTACGAATATCCACGGTTTACCAAGAATCCATCAATCATAATGAACCCGTCGACGTTCGTGGAGAACTTTCCCCAAATGCAATACGGTTTCAGGACGGATAGCCACGACTGTTATACGGTTTCTCTACGAATACACCACGGTTTGTCAAGAATATGGACGGACTGGGCCACGGATGACCAAGGTTCTCCTATGAATAAAGCGTGGATATTGATTGTACAACCTAGCGGCACCCTAGCATGTCCGGGCACATCCGTAGGATGTATAGATTTCTACCACGAATGAGCTACGAATCTCCAAGAATATGCACGAATAGCCATGAATAACAACAATAAGTACGGTTTTGTCCTGCGGAGTCCCACGGTTGCACTACAGATTGATTTTCACGACGTTTCACCATGGAAGTTATGAACAGTTTCAAACTTCCGTAGCCCCTCCATGAATACCCAAGGAAGATGACGGATAACCACAGATGTACGAAGGATGAATACGGTACTCCCACGGTTTATCATGAATTTCAAACCGTGGATATCCTAGCTCCAAACCGTGAATGTGTGACTAGGGCTTAATAATGCTTTTTGCTAAGGAAATATCTTTGAAGCTTACCAAATTGGCAGTTGTCGCCGGAGAAACCTTGCAGGCAGCTACAGTGATAGGCACTGCCCAGGTTGAGGCATTCAGCTGATTCAGGCAAGGGTTGCTGAAACACGGGTCTGAAACTGAAAGGAAAAGAAACAACTTCTGGTTTAATAACAGGACCGTTTCATTGGACAAGGGAAATATATCAGGGGTGCTGATTGGCTGCCCGAGAAAAAGGAATCATTCTGATTGGAGAATGTTGCAAGAAAAGGGTTAGATACCTACTAAACTGGCCAATAGAAACAAGTATACTTGGTTGGACCGGCTCTATTATCAGCTTGTTCCCAATTGTCAAAGACTAGGCAATAGATTAACACACATTTTGGATACAGCTAGTACTTTCGACAAGAGATTTTGGACATGGCCAATTTAGCGTAAGACAAGAGATTTTGGACATGGCTAATAGCTTTAGACAAGAGATTTTGGACATGGCTAATAGCTTTAGACAAGAGATTTTGGACATGGCTAATAGCTTTAGACAAGAGATTTTGGACATGGCCGATGGCTTTAGACAAGAGATTTGGACATGGCCAAATTTAGCTTCAGACAAAAGATTTTGGACATGCCAATTTAGCTTCAGACAAGAGATTTTGGACATGGCCAATAGCTTTAGATAAGAGATTTTGGACATGGCCAATAGCTTTAGACAAGAGATTTTGGACATGGCCAATTTAGCTTCAGACAAGAGATTTTGGACATGGCCAATAGCTTTAGATAAGAGATTTTGGACATGGCCATAGCTTTAGATAAGAGATTTTGGACATGGCCAATAGCTTTAGATAAGAGATTTTGGACATGGCCAATAGCTTTAGACAAGAGATTTTGGACATGGCCAATAGCTTTAGACAAGAGATTTTGGACATGGCTAATAGCTTTAGACAAGAGATTTTGGACATGGCCAATAGCTGTAGACAAGAGATTTTGGACATGGCTAATAGCTGTAGACAAGAGATTTTGGACATGGCCAATTTGGCTCTAGACAAGAGATTTTGGACATGGCCAATAGCTGTAGACAAGAGATTTTGGACATGGCTAATAGCTTTAGACAAGAGATTTTGGACATGGCCAATTTAGCTTCAGACAAGAGATTTTGGACATGGCCAATTTAGCTTCAGACAAGAGATTTTGGACATGGCCAATTTACCTTTAGACAAGAGATATTGGACATGACAAATAACTTTAGACAAGAGATGTTGTACATGGCCAGCTGGGTGGTCAAAACGTGTACCAAGAAGGTAAGGGCTCCAAGTAAAAATGTGGGGACTTTGATTGGTTAATAAAGATTGCCATTTTGCTTGTTTGGAAAAAAACGGCTATTCTGATTGGTTGAGATAAAGGTTCAAGCTTTCTGATTGGTTGAGATAAAAGTATGCACTGTCCTGATTGGCTGAGAGTTTTACCTGTTTGGCAGTTGATGCCGCCATATCCTGCCGTACACTGACACACGTACTCGGTGACTGTGTCGGTTAGACACCGACCACCGTTCTGACAAGGGTAACTGGAACAAGGGTTCACAACAGCTGAAAAAAATTACATAATAATAATTATCATAATGTGGTGCTCATATAGCGCTTTATACCAAAGGTCTCAAAGCGCTTCACAATTATTACCCCTGTTCATCAGACCATGAGACTATTTTTCTGCAGCAGATCAAGATCAACGCATTTCGATCTCTAACTTCAATGTACCCATTTATGCTCCTGGGTTGAGAGAGGCAATTGTAGTAAAGTGTCTGCCCAAGAACACAAGCATCCGTGCAATCTGGTCTCTACTCTCACAGGTACCCATTTATACTCCTTGGTGGAGGCAATTGTGGTAAAGTGTCTGCCCAAGAACACTAGCACCATGTTCTCTAGTGGTTTCGATCCCACACTCCACTCTTCTCTGTTATTTGACAATTCATTGCAAGCAAATGTTGGCGAAGTTTTTGGTGAAAAATACTCTTGACGTGTACTTACCCATTTCACAACGCAGTCCTTGCCAACCTAGGGGACAGTTACAGGCGTAATCGCTGGTCGATGGGAAAACAGGTACCACCGTTGAGACAAGGGTTGCTACCACATGGGTTGGCAAGATCTGAAAATAAAAAATAATAATAACAAAGGGATGATATAGTGCCATATTCTGTTAAAGGCCTATAGGATCATTGTAAAAATTAAAAACAAAACCGCCGAAAGATCATGAAACATCCTACTGGAATGTGGACAAATAATAGCATCTTGCATCTTGTGAAATCAGTGCGCCTAGCATGCTGTCACTTTCAAGAAAAGATTAATTAATCATTTCCTCGTGATAGTTAGGAACAAACCACTGCACTTTCAACGAAAACCTATGCTAGGCGTCAAGAAAATGAAGATGCATTGTCACAATTTTCTTAAAAAGTGTGATGTCCACTGAGCTGAAACTGCAACAGGTTAGGTTTGAACATTCTTCTCGGATTTTGAGTGGTGTTATTATTGGAAATGAACAAAATGCATGCACAGTAAACGATCTTACATGCTTTTAAAAGTTATGCTCAAGACACTTCACGATGATTAAAAAAATGAACCTTAAAACAAATAAGAAGAATGGCTAAACTTTAAAAATGTACTGTAAAATAGCATGGCTCACATAATTATAAAGACATAAGAAATCATTCTTATTTATTATTTATTTCTTATTTTAACTGGGTAGCTCATTCGGTGGAATCCGCTGGTCTCCCATGAGGTCCAGTAAGAGAAGACAATGAGAAGAAATTACAGTTTTAGAGGTGGGAGGAAAACCCAGAAGAATATTCTGTGGAAAACCCACGGAATCAGGCAGGGAATGAAAACCCAATCATAATTGGCTCAGGCGGGATTCGAACCCGGTCACAGCGGTGGAAGGCGAGGAAAGTACCGCTACGCCACCTGACTCCCCTAACAAGACAAACATGTGTCTATGAAATAGTTACTGATCTCTGGAGATGTAAATTGGCTCCGACATTCTTGCAGGAAAATTGAGCTTTTGAAAAAAAGAATGTGGCACTATATATTTAAAAAGGAGGAAATTCGTCAACTGCAAGATTTTGTACAACTCACCAATTTGGCAGTTGTTGCCGCTGTAGCCAGTGGGGCACGTGCAGATGTAAGCCTGGGTGTTTGTAATGACTGAACAGAATCCTCCGTTGATACAAGGGTTCGTCAGACACGGGTCGGTCGAATCTAGAGAAACACAAAATCACAAGAATTAGGTTGCTGTTTTAATGTCCTTTGTCACCAAGAACAAGATGGTGTTACCCACGAAAAATTCTTCAAAGTTGTACTCAAAACTTGATATCTCGAGTAGCAAAGTGAAAAACTGTCACGGTTATGAACTTTTAAAGAATATAAACAGTATAACAGCTGTTTTTAAACTTCATTTTCCCCCTTATTGTATTCTTAAGTTGCGTTTAAGCATATAACAGCCGTCAATATTGATTTTGGGCGGCCAGAAGAGAGCAGGATTCTAAACGGGAACAAACTGGCGTATATCACGTTTTAGAAATGATCTCATCCAATCCTCCCATCTTATTTACTCCCCCTACCCCCCCCCTCAAATGTACCTACCTATCTGACAGTTATTTCCGGTGTAACCAGTGGGGCAGTTACAGACATAAGATCCCCCGGATTGCGCATCGTACACACACCTCCATTCACGCAAGGATCGCTGGAGCATGGCCTTGCCAATGCTGTAGAAACATCACAGGAAAAAGTTTCGACAAAGTCACAAAAAGAATGAAATTCTAAGTTGCAATTTTTCTATTTTGAACGGCATAAATGGGTAAACGGTCATGAGGAAAACAAAAAATAGGAAATCACCTAGGCTTGACTCACAGTGTTGCTAACCGCAAAATCTGTGCTTATATTCATCATTCTGTGCTTACAGTGCTAGCAAGAAAATTCCTGCCCAATTTTTGGCCAAAAAGTAGCATTTTAATGAAAAATATCTTCAGTTTCACTACAGTTACAGCCTGAACGCTGATATCACATCTAGAACAGGTTTTAGAATACTCACGTAATGAAAATGCAAAGGTATAAATATTTTTAAAAAATGCAAATATGACAGTAACTTCCAGCCTCCTTTTCTGTGTTTTGCATTTTTAAAAAATTGACCAGAATTGGACCTGAGCCGATTGTTAAATATGTTCACGGACCGTAATTAGTTAGCAAAATTTGGTAACCAGCCAAAATGCCATGCAATGTAGCCTGTAACTGGTATACCCAGATAACATTTTGCTTAACATACAAAACATGCTAAGCGGTATTTTCCTGCTAAGCGCGCATTCGGTCCCAGTATAAGCACGAACCTGGTAGCTCACAGTTGGTTCCCCTGAAGTCCTGTGTGCAGAAGCATACATACTGGTAGTCTGCGCCAACAACGCTGGTGAAGCAGAAACCAAAGTTCTGACAGGGGGCACTTCGGCAAGGATCCGGTTCTGAGGGGATGGAAATGACATCTTTAAGGAAAGATTCTCCAACTGTATGTGAGTTATTGAGACACTTTCCGTAGGCAATGTCACAGCTTTAAAGGTGATTACGTACATTCTGAAGAAATCTGATCATTCACACAAAAAATCTCTCAGTTAAAGTTGCATTATTGTGCTCTTCAAAAAATGGAGATTATTTATCCTATCAATTCTCAATTTGCATGTTTTGTTTAATGAAAATATTGTTTATTCAGATTTTGCGCAACAAATGAATTTGCCCTGCGACACCGAATTATTGTCAGGCAGCTGATAATTCAAATTTTGTAAAAACCTAATTCTATAATTAACATGGGTGGATTTTGTCGTTCGATGTACTCATTAAAAATTGAATAACTTTCAATTGCTAGGAAATTAGTAATTGGAAAAGCACATCTATTTTTAGGTGAAAATCCAAAACAAAACTTGGAACGCATCTTTAAAGCTTGCTGTCCCCCTAAGGAATGTAATGAAGTCGTCTGCATTGTTGTCGCCTGATTGAAATGAGTAAAATTTTGCAGCATCCACAAACAGATGTTAACATTTTCTGATGATGCAACAAGGTTTAGCATTATTTGCTATGTCAACGGCTTATCTTTCTTGTAGAATCGCTTATTTTTCAGAAGCATATGAAGCCGAACAAGTTGTGGCTTTTTCCCACCAATCACATTAAAGGATTACCTCATAAATATGTATGAGATACAATTACTGAACTTACCAATTTGGCAGTTGGAGCCTGACCATCCACCAGCACAGGCGCAGGCAAAGCCAGCCCCAGTCGTGTAGCACAAACCATTGTTCAAGCACGGGGAACTACTGCAGGGATTGAAAACTGTGAAAAAACATAAAGAGTAACGATTTCAGATTTAGTCTGTTTAACCTTTTAGTGGTGCTTGAAACTTCCTGAGCACTCTATGATTTTATTGAGTTAACACAAACATTCAGTGGGTAACGTGTGATGTAGGCAAATTTACACTGTCAACACTTTTTAAATGTAATGCATAGTCTCAGCTCCAGGATTTTACCATTGGTAACCTTCAGAAGTGCGGCCTTTTGCTGAAATGCTCTTTTCCAGACGGTGTCCCAGAGATGTTGAAGTAATTTCTTCCGAAGATTTAAAGTTGGGTAGTCGAGTTTGGAAGTCCGGTCACAAGTACCAGGGGATGAACGGTAACAAAAGAATGCCTTCATTTGGATAGCTTGTGATTTGACTTGTGATGGACTTTGATGGACTTGTGATGGACTTGTGATGGACTTGTGATGGAATTGTGATGGACTTGTGATGGACTTGTGATGGACTTGTGATGACTTGTGATTGACTTGTGATGGACTTGTGAATGATTTGTCATGGACTTGTGATGGACTTGTGATTGTCTTGTGATAGACTTGTGATTGAATTGTAATGGACTTGTGATTGTTTGTGATGGACTTGTAATTGTGTTATGAT